GCTTTCAGCACTTCAAACTCAATACCACCGATTGTCCCTCTTAACCCCTTTGCGACTTCGACCTGAAAATTGTGCCACCTAGCGCATACAGGACGAGCTTAATGTAGTATGATTTCGGAGCATTTGAACCGCACAGATGCTTCGTTCATCAAAAGAGCCTTGCGATTACACCGGACAACCCGTAATAGGCTTATCTACCTTCTATCCGAAGACCTCCATCGCCGTTTCAAGCTGTCATCTCTGATATTTGAAAAGCATCATAAAGTAGGATCGGAAGTTCGCAGAGGTTCATCCCGTATTTTATACAACGAGGGCCATGACGAACGAGACCTGAAAAGGATTTGACCGGTTTAACAAAAATTAAGTGGTGCGCCATATCTTACAGAATTGATCGCCTGTAGAGAATGCCGAGGTACATGCGTTTAAACGGCGACGAGCTTGGTCATAGCAGGCAAGTAGAAGGACTCTGCTCTAGTACACAGAACAGTCTTTCAAGGAAGAACTAGTTCAAAGCATGGATGGTTGTCGACTGTATATTGGAACACATGTGCGGGTAGTGCGTGTGTTACGGCACGTACTAATAATATAATTGTAGGTATTTCCATCGCTACATAACGATAAAATGCAGAGCGAATAAATCACATTGGTACGAGCACTGGTGCGTCATCACTACTGTGCATGTACATATATGTAATGACGACGGTACACCTTATAGGACGGGATGAGGGGCATCGCCTCTGGCCAGGTGCAACATCGACGTGTTAAACAACAAATGAAAACAAACTGTGCAGGTGTTTCAATTAATTCAAAAGCAACAACAGTGACAGGCGATACACAGTTTACATTTACATCGAAGTATAGTATTCACCGATACTCGAAAACTTCCACTATCGCGCTTGAAGGTGTCTCGACTTATTCTACTACTTGAAGTCACTCTTTATATCTTTAATATAGTTGGTGCAGCGGGAGGTTATTATTGGTCTATGGAAATAATACCCGGTAATCAGCCGTGTGTTTCGTAAGTGTTTGGTACTGTTATTTGACAACATCAACGAATTGGTATATATATGGTGGTATATGGACGCATCATATATATTGGATATATATGGTGCGTCACCTATTATATCCAGTTTATATATATATATATATATATATATATAGCACAATGGCACCGAAATTAGATCGAATAGAAATACACGATTAAGGTATACCTTGGCGGCGTCAGACACATTAGATACATCATCATGGTTGCAGTCCTTCTACTGTCCTCCAGCATACTCGATAAGATTATGCATAGGATGAGCGAGATCACGAATTCTCTAGCACACTGCAACGGCAGTAATAAATTACAGGCCTCGGAATAATAGCACCACCCCGATTGGTTGGAGCCACTCAACCTATATGGCAGCAAGCACTGCCACAGGTGCAACATTCGCACATCTTCACCCATGAACCCCCAAACCTGTGTTCTCATTCACAATCTTCCCCCACGAATCACGAACTGTATTGCACATAGATACCGGATGGCCCTGTTGTGAAGATGCTTCTATATTCCTCCGATGCTTATGTCGGTGCTGTATCGCCCTAGTCATTCCGTTACCTTATTGTTATATTGTCCTATGAGCCTGTTTTAGCGATCTCTTTCATCGGTGTCAGAGATCCCTTACTCCGATTTTATCCAAGCGGTCACTGTGGCACCGCCAACCCGTCACCGTTTTGCGGTCGCTGCGCTATTTCAACAAGGAAGGAACCTTCGTTTCTAATCCGATGCGAATATTAGGGCTACTTAAGAATATAAACCGATACGCAATGCAAACAACTAGTTTTTAGGAAAATTGTCAATTGTTTTAGAGAAAAAGCATTGCTGGATGACAAAAAAATACGATTTTTTTTTCCAAAAAAATCTATGTTGTTTTGGCTATCGCTAATGATCCTTTAGAGTTTAACTTTTTTTGGAGACGTTCAAACCAATTTTTGGCAGACGTGCCTTATTACAATAGGTTTTTCTTTTCATCATTATTTAAATTAAATTATTGGAACTACTTGAAAAATGGAAAAGCGCATGAATAGAGGTCGTATTTGTTTAGAATATAGAAGGCTTAGATATTACTGTATATGTCACATGAGGAGCTTCTTGACTCCACGTAAAATCTTTCAATTGTTCTTGCGTACACGCAACGTCAAGTTACGATCTCTGATGATATGAGAAGCAATCTAAGTTGGAACTAATTTGTCATTAGTGATTTCTAGATAATATAGGTCATGTTTACCACGAGACCAAGTTAACTGGGAAGCCAGCTTGACGATGTTCGTATATGGTACTTTTTACCTGTATATAACTCATAATAAAGACCTAATCGATCTTATTCTAACACCAGGATGACCTTAGGTAATTTCCATCCGTTTTGTCGAGTTTGATTAATTAGAAGGCATTCATTATAAGGACACACGAATTGAAGTATCGACCATTGAATAACTTGCGTTAAGTTAAGCGTACTTTCCCTATATGCCTTTTCTCTGAGCGTATAGATGTTTGTAGAAAAACTCGAACTATATAAAACAGGAAGCATATGAGAGAAAAAAAAAGGAGAAATCCTTCCATCAAGGGAACGTTTACCCGAGATTCTAACATTTAAACATAATTTTTTGCGCATAAATCAGAGACTTTGTATAGATTACTTTTCAAAACGTGAGGCTATATAAAATAGCTAACGATTTTTTCTGTACTTCATCAAAGCTTTGCTGCACAATGAAAAAGAGAAACTAGAATATCGTTATAATGACCCAACGTATTCGCCCGTGTTAAAGCTGTACTTTCGGTGCTAAACGGAAAACAAATTATGTTTTATACAAGTCATTGCATTGAGTTCTATTACACAATAATCCTGGAGGCCAGGGTAAAACGGGTCTATGTGGCCCTATACTTTGGGCCATTTCCGAGATATATCGAAGCAGCCGATGTTAATTTTAAAGAGATTTTGAGATATAACTCAGTTTTGTAAGAAAATGCCTACATGTATGTATGTCAATTTAAACGAACGTGTCGTAGTTTCGTTGAACCACATATCATTGTCCGTGAAAAATATTGGCATAGGATATCGTTTGGGCAAAATACTGCCACCACTTTATAGATGATCATGACCATAGATTCGAATTTACCATATATATATATATATATATATATATACAATAGCTATACAAAGTTAATGCAGTCAGGTTGGCTTGGTGCGCACATTACTGCAGTGTCTTCTCACTTCTCGAACAATGGCTAGTACCTGGGCCATTCAACTGGCGGTCCTATACTACGCAACAGAGCTTTATGTGTACCTATAATAAGCACTAACTTTCGCACAGACTCGAATTGCTAAGGTGGTCGCTCAATTTATACTTTTATTGCTCATATTTACAATCTAACCCAGCATTTCTTGTCATATACACACAGGTACCTGACATGACCTAGGGAGGCAGAACATCAGCCACCTAATCCTTTGTAAGCGGCGGGCTTGAGAGGTGACTAGACGCACGACCATGGGCGGCTGACCTCTGACCAACAGGTGCTAGACTATCTTAACAACAACTTTTTCACTCTTGATGGGAATAGGACATTCTTTTGTCCTTGTCATAAGGCCAGTCGTGTTAAAAATGAGCTAAATGTAGGTAAGACCAACCGAATTTGTGTCAAACATTACACGCCGCCTGCGATAGCACGCAATAGATATAATCTGCTATCGAATTGTCACCACGGCTACAGTGCGTAGTACGTATCCTGGCGCGTGGCTTAGTGGAATCGACTGAAGCTGACTCCACGTATACGAATGTAGGTACGTACGTACTATGATGAAGCTGCAATTCAACAGTATGCATATATTACATATTCTATGATTATGTACAAGATATGCACACAGTTGTCACAAAGTGTATGATTGTATGTGCTCATGCATACGTAATCATCTCTAACCATTATACGTAAAAACAGGATAAATACTCGGTGATTAGCTAGTATGTATGTATGTATGTATGTGTGTGTACACGCAATATCAAGTAGTAACACAGAATGAATACCTCTGACTACAGCATTGAGATCAGCTGAAATTATATAAGGATTAGTTTACGGAAGATATTGATCGATCGACCGTCAAAATTGATCACGATGCGATATATATGCTATCTCTGATACAGAGTGTTACATAAATGCGCAGATTAAGCGCCGTGTAGAAAAGTCAAATGTGGTTGAGAGAAGCCAAGTCTCACAGCCAATGGTAGATTGTTACATGAATGAAATCTGTTTATCGAGAATAGTTGTATACGCTACGTTGCACAGATGATGGCACCAAAACCGGGTCTGCAGACGCAATGTGTAGCTATTTACTAGACGGAGAATGGTCGTGCGCTGGGCGCCACCCATTTGACGGGAAGCAAAGGCAATTGAAAGGTCCTCCGACCTTTCATGCTGAAGTGTTTGTCTAGTCAACTTCGAGACACGTGATGATTTAGGCTCGAAACTGAAGCTATATACACTTCGTTTAATACTGAAAGCCAACCATCTAAAATGATGCTTAACACTGAGTGCACTGAAGATAGACGACTGATCTCTGAGTAGGTCCTACCTGTCGTTGATCAGAATAAAACACTAGCGCATTATTACTCCCTCACTGAATCAGAATATAATAGAGCTTCTATTATAGTATTATATAGTGTGATAGTATTTCACTGACTTTTCGCACAATTCTTCCAATATTGAGGACTGTATTAATACACTTTAGGCTAGCAAAGCAAGCAATTTAGCAAGGTAGCTGCCAGGACGCCGGCGGTCGCAGGGTATGTAGGGATTCCGTATTACACGAAAGTATCAAACTGAATAATTTAACATGCGATTCCTATTATATTGGTATCGAATTAAGCCTGCGTAATGACTGCGGTATTTTTTAACATTTATAAAGAAAATATCTAAATTTTATCAAAATTGAAGAAAGTCCCAAAGTAGCTAATAAATTGACCCGTTCGCATTAACAAAAGTACACCAACTTTTATTACTGCGTAATTATTCATGTATTGCTTCCTTAATTGTTATTTAGATATATTTTTAAGTCGTATAAACATCCATGCGTGACTGTGTATTGCGTCTGTTTTTCAAATTTATCGAATAGGTAGCTTTTTACACTCGCATGTTTTCCTGTGCAAAACTCCAAACTGATTCGGGCCGATCATCTTAGTTGCATGAATCGACCAGTTCATCTATACGCACCCCTTCTACCATCTTCAATTCTCAGATTCGTTTTTGTCTGAAACAGTTTGGCTACCGTTTGGCCTTTTATGACTAAAGGTAGTAACCGCCGTAATAGTTACCATATCCTCCTCGATTGAAGTAGCCTCCCCTTGAAGTGTAGAATGGGTCGTACATCCTGGCAAATCGTCTGTAGTAGAATGGATTGTTATAATAGCCATAGGCGTACCGATTGAGGCCGTATCCGCCATACGGCCATCCTCCGCCGTACACGCCATAGCCACCATAACCAAAAGTAGCTCCCGAAAGCACCCCCACGAACCAAACGGCCCCGAGGGCGATAAAGACAAGCTAGAAATTAACAATAGCAAGCAATTTATCTATTAGTATACTTGTTCGATGGTAATGAACGTGCTATCAATATTTATCTGTCGGACAACTAACTGGAGATAACAGAAAAATATCAGTCAATAAAAAAAGAGACCCTTGAAATTCGATGTACAGATGGACCCGTTAGGTAGTCTAACTTACCTAACGTCGTTTAAACTTATATTATTTAGTAAACAATAAATACAGAAAAATTTACTGATGTTGCTATTTCTATTTAGTGCAACCATCAAGACAGTGACTTGCAACAATGTAATAAGCAGCGGTACTGCTAGCTACTTCGCTGGACCGATGTCCTAACACTCGCTTATCCTGTGATCGTGAACAACCGGATAATCACAGCACATGTGCACACATTGCGTCGACCGTTAATCCTTTTGATTATTCCTTCATGGAAAATCATCACTGGGATATGGCTTAACGAAAATTACTACACGGTTCCTGTCGAAGTTTCGGCTTTGATGCTCTGGAAAAAACAAAGCCCTTGTGCGTATACGTGCATATATACACAAAGCACTGTTGAGTCGTTACGAAATTTACGTCAATATATTTGCTTCTCACATCATTCATCTTGCTACAGCTTCACATCAGATAGCACCCAGCAGAAAACTGAAACGGTGTACACAACTGAGCTCTATTAGTATTGGAAGTAATTTTGGTAGTATTTAGTCTATAATGAGTATCTTTTTACAAGTTATACAGGTATTTTACAAGTTAAAATTCTGCTGATGTCAAAATCGTTACTTAACGAACGGAGGACCGTAGCGTTGGCATGACACACTGAGGACATCAACGTTTAGATGTCCTATGCACCCCCACAGTTCAATTTTGCTATCGCGACATGGACAGACTGTCTGTCAAGGCGGCAAGAGCTGACGGTTCACCAAATACGTAATTGTATATACATTTCACGATTGCTCCTTTTTCGCCGTTCGTCATGATCGTAGCGATCATAATTAGGCAGGCGCCAGCTGTATCGTAGATAGACATACTGTTTAGAATATCTCAGAAGGCAGGAACTGTTATGCCTGCGCCATTCATTCTCCCTCCACTGCAGAACTACGGACCAATTGAATTTATTACATGCATGATTATTATCGATACGTAAACAAGACTATTGTCGCTTGTAAATTACAATAGATATTTTTACGCTTCGGAAAAGCCTCAAGAAAATTTTTCGGGACAAAAGATGTATGCAAAGCGTATACAACAACTGCTGTCCTAACGGCCTCTCTCTAGCTAGTAGGACACCGAGGTAGAGTAGTAGCCAAGATAAATCCGGTGTTAACGAATCTAATAGTTTTACATTCTACACGAGGCCACCAGTTAACCTAGTAGCGTTCAGTTTAGCTTGAGGTACACCGATATTTGGCGAAACGACAATACCTGATTGAAGGTCCTCATCCTAGTGTCGTATCTGGAATCCTTCTGAATGAATCAGCGTGACATCTTATATACGACTTCACACTGTGTTGTACTGATCTAGCTGCTGAAATAGCCCTTACCCATTGGTTTGGATTCCCGCCGAGAACTTCGACGTTCTGTGCGGCAAGTGGCATTTTCCCGTGACTACCGATTCGAGGTGCAGTAAGAAAGCTAACCTAATTAGTCTGCTCTATAATTTATCTCCATTATCTAGTAGTTAACTATCTATCGAGTATATATTGGCATGCACGTACAGAGTCTTGAGCATTAAAGCTAAGCGTCAAAAAGGTCAAAGAGGAAAATAATCTGAACTCCGTACATCGTACGACTTCCTATATATTGTTGACTTGCGCATTCATTCGAAGCTAACCCTTCATATCGCTTCGTTGGTGAAGCTGTTTTGTTGCAGTTCGCTCCACGGCTAACTCATGAAGCACGATGATATAAAATACACCATAAATGCTAAGATGATACTATATGATCCTTTAAAAATGTGCATCTCGCACGTGTGTACATCGCACGTCAGAGCACGTTCTGTACTAATAATTGAAAAAGAAAATACTTGACATTATCTGAAATTTCTCATTACTGATGCCTGAAGAAATACCTGCAGAACAACAATGAGTTCGCAGTTTTCAGGCATCGATCACAAATTGAACGCTTGCGGTACGCCGTCTTCTGAAGCTTTCGTCGGCAACTTCTAAGAATTTGTCAGATTGTCTAAATCCTAGAACTACTGCTTTTTCCATCTATTGTATGATACCTTCACTACATCGTCACGTCGTTCCCCTTTAGGCGAGTTTTGAGTTTCACCATTGGCAGCAGCGTTGACAACTAATCGAAAAGTATGTAGATATACTTCGGTGGCAGGGATTTACATTTTTTTTTGTTTTTCATCACTGCAACGTCTATTGTTGACAAATCACCTAGAAAGACAAAAAATATTATGTATGTATGCGCGTATGTATACACATGTTTATCATTTGATTTTGAAAAAATGAAAGCGTCTCCACATTCTAGTGGTTCCTTCTTGTATACCCAGTTGTGTGGTCAAGGCCACGGGAACCAAATACGGGTTTTCGATACACGAACTGAGAGAATATTCAAAATACAGAAAAATAACCTATATGCCCACAAGTATTTCTCCATTCTATTTAGTCGAACGTTAATAAATAATAAGCTACGTTCAAGCTGAAAATTTGTCAAAAGCATCTCAGTTTCGATGCGAGTACTTTGGAGCATCGTGCTATTAGAACTGCGTGATTATCCTGACTGAATCCGTTCAGGATATTCGTTTTTTAGTTAGCTAATGATATACCATAATTCCGATATAGTACAAATTTACATATTCTAAAGCTGTCTTTCATGACTTGCTACGCCGGAACCACACGTTCGCCGTAGTGAGATGTGCCGCCATTTCGAAAATCAGTAGAGGATTTCTAACGTAGTACTTTATTAAATGAAGTAATGGCATCCTTTAAGCACGACTAAAGTCATTCTCAGTTTTTTAGAAAAATTATAGAATGAAGGTGATCTGGAGTAGGAGTACAATTAGGTGAAAGATACAGACGACAAACGAAAATCTTGATCGGTTTTTTCTAATAATGCAATCATTGCTTGCTAAACGAAAATAGAAGCTGTACTCGGTATAAGAAGCTATAGTCAGATGAGCCCAGTGTTTGAATCCTGTTGTTAAACAAGTTTATCGTCTGCTTCATTAAACGCAATCAACGCAGAGACACGCAAAGGGGTGTTCAACGCACTCAATCATCTCATAATTGGTTAGCAAAGCAAATACACTTTAATTACGCGCCCGGGTCGTTTTCGGTAGCGAATTTTAGCTCTACGAGTGTAAACTAATTAAATATTTTTCTCAACTTAGACTATAAAGAGCAATCACGACAAGCTGCATACGAGACTTGTTCATTACTCTTGAAGGTGGCAAACTTGGCTGGTCAATGCCCCGCCCTTCCGGATGCAGCTTCTCCTTATCTTGCCACCTATTTGATATTACTTCCCCCGTGGACATCGAATCTGTCCACCAGCATGGCAGTAAGTACCACCAGTCCTCTGGACTATTTCAATTCTATTATGTTTACAGTTGTCATCCTATGCCTAACAGCTATCCGCTAACTAAATCTTAATTAGGGACGACCCTGTGCCTGTGCCGCCATCTGGTGGCAAGGAGCCCAAACGTTTCGATGGACAGTGCTGCCGCAGCTGTCCCTGTCGCCTCGTTTCTAGCTTTATCTATGTCCGATATCGTCGAACGAAGTCATTTGTCGGTGTCTTTCGTTCATCTTCTCTCTGGCGATCGTGTGAATTATTTACTTATTGGCTCTTGTTGCTGCGGACGTAGTGACGATCTGCGGCGTGTCACTTACACGCGGGTCCCTCTCCTGCCTCACCGAGCCACCTCTCTGTGATACTATTTTCCAACCAATTGCGCCAACAACAATACTAGTAAGCGTACGTTGGGTCTCCTATGATTGGCGTCGCTGCTGTCGTCTATAGCCGCACAGGTACCGTCATAATCCGCATTAAGCAGAACCTAGCTACAGTTACTGGCGTGTTCGGCGGCTTGTTAACGCGGTCAGCAGCGAGACTTAATACGGGGACAACCGTAAAAGTAGACGACAGTAAAACAATCGGCTACTTGTTACTTTCTGTTTGACTGACTTCAGCGGATTGTTGTTGTTGTCGTCGTCGGACGAGAACCGGATAAGAGCGGCAACGGCGAAAACCTGCATCGATTCTACCGTTTTGAAGCCATTCTACGTATAGCTAGCTATACGGCGGCGATGTTGTTGAACACGTGGCAGAAGATATTACGCGACCCTGCAGCGCGTTTACAAGCGGATCAGTGAAGTCGGCGTGTGTCATCTATGCAGGTTTGCTCGGCGTACGTCTGTCTACGATCGGAGTGGAACAGGAGAAGATCTATAAACAGTAAAATGAACGCCAGCTGGTCCTGAGGTCTAATAATTGTGGACGTGCCGTATTCGTATTTTAGGTGGTTCATTTATGTAACACGCGTTTGTCAAATGTGAGCGAAAGCGAACAATTCATTAAAAAGGTGTTTAATCAACCTGCGTTCATTATCCGTAATAGTAATTCATTAGAACATGTTGTCTGAAAAGTGCGGCTTCCCTACGATTAAACTTACGCTAAAATGAATCTCTGACTAGTGGGGTGTTCCTGACATGTGTGTGCCTCCCATTTTTCTGGGTTACGCTGAACATTGTAACTTCTGCTCGTAATGCGTTCGGATGGTCTTTTTTTTTTCGCTCTTATGGCGCCAGATGTTTAGCTTACTTACTACCGGTACTGAGCACAAATAAAGTAATACAATTAAATAACCGAGCAGCTGTAAAGGATAAATTGTACTTTTAAAAAATTTTACCTATTCATGTTCGCACGTTTTCGAATGTCAGACATTCATCTTGAGAGCTTCGTCGGAGATCGTAATAAATATATAGGCTGATCAATATGGAAAAACGCCTATGATATTACCCTGTCGTAATAGTACATCAAAGTAAGTCACTTTATTTGCTGCTGAACACTTACCGATATCCAGATGATGGTCTGGATGGCAGTGCAGTACGGAATGTTTTGCCAGTTAAGCCTAGGGATCCGATTTAAAATACTCTGGGTTCGAAACCCGACGTAGACACGCTTTTTTGTGATAGCCGGACAACCGTCTGAACTAATCGCTGACGTAAAACGTAAAATATTGATTAGATCATAATGCTTTTTGTCGAATCGATTCTAAAAGCGTAGTATCGAAGGCTGTCGTACAATATACAGCTGAAAGTTAGTTATAGTAAAAGTTTTACGATATGGCTTCAAACCTGTCGTTTATTTAATGGTCATTATGTAAGAACTTGATAAAGAACCTATACAAATGTTACTCATTCCACCCTATTTTAGGTACTGAATATTGAAGAGAAGCCTATTATTATTATTGTACCTGTTGATACAGCCAGTGAATTAAAACTAGTCGTTAGCACACAATCGTCTATCGAGTCAATCAAGTATTATCGAGACACCTGTCCTTGCAACGGCTAGCAGTGTCACACGAGGGCAGCGTAAAATAATAGTAGTTAAAATTGAAGAGCTATGAGTCAACGGGGGATCGTCTCTTCCGCGAGGAAAGTCCTTATGATCGTTATTGCACAATTACCCCTATATATTCGACCCTTCCCAAAAACAAGAATTGTGTAACTTCTATGTACATACATATATTTGTATAATAGTTAGAAAGAATACCATTAATAATAGCCTATTCGTTCTATGAACAATTTCCTCTGCATGAAGACATCGGATTCCACAATATCAATTGAGTAATGAACCTTAAGATTGCTACTGCCTACCATAATTACAAGCTAGAGCTGTTTGTTCTAAAAAACGATTTATTAAGGTACATTTGTCATTTCACAAGCAAACGAGTTATAACGAAGAGCCGGAAGGATTTCTACCATGAAATTAGGATACTGGAATGTACGAGGGCTTTGCTCGCCAATTCGTTACCTGCTCGAGTACGTCGGCGCAGAATACGATGAGGTTCGTTACGAAACTTCCGATGGTAGGTGACCACAGCGTTCATAAGACGTATCCCAGTAATCTATAGTCCTGTAAGGAGGATTTGCCCGCGGTCATAACGAAGAGATTCGTTCCGATTTAGCTGAAAGGGAAAAGCTGAATCTCGTATTTTTAATTGGATTTGGGTTTGATCTAATACGATGTTATTTAGAGTATAAATTGTTAATAATAACGTATACATTTTAGATGTGAACCAGACAGGATTTAAGTCCGGTCTGGGTGATGAACAGATTGTGTGCAACCTTTATTGTTATAAGATTAATTGCAACCTTTTATGTAACGTTATATTCGAGACAAACGTAGAAATTCGTAAATCGCTTTTAGCTCCCAAGTGGCAAGACGATAAGACATCACTGGGAATGGAGTTCCCCAATATACCTTATCTATTCGATGATGACGACCTCAAATTGACACAATCAATGGCTATTCTCCGGTAAGTGAACTTCAGGCAATACATTTCCCAACTGTGCTATAAACGCTAACCTAACCTAACCTAAACAAACACTACTAGATTTTACCGTTTACCGTTTGAACACTATAGATTTCGTTTGTAGCATGACCTACAATGAACTTTCCCACAGAGCGAGGACGAAGCTTTCACTAGCATATATAGGCTTCTGAAATTTACATTATAATTACCGAAGCCAGCTGAAATATACAATTATGCTACACTTATTTAGGATTATACAGAACAAAACGTATTTAGTAAATTATTCACGTTTGACATTAGCTCAGTGAAGGGATTCTGGCGGAAAACGGTACCACCATTAACCAATCACACACATCAATGAGTGCGATACGAGAATCCTGTTAAAAAAAATCTAACCCAAAATGGAAAATAACATTCAGGTATTTGGGCGGAAAGTATCAACTGACAGGTGTCCAGCTCAATTCAAGCAGAAGTCCTCTCCAGCAGAAAGCTATCGTCGATATGGTTGAGCAGCAACTCCATGATCTAAGGCACGTATTATTAATCAGAAGCTTAATAATGCTGATGCGACCTTATCGTGGGCCGATAATAAAACAATACTTTTATTTCTTCTAGTTTCCCATTCGAAAATAGTTCAATTGTCCGAAATTACGACAAACTTAAGTTACAACGCATTATAACTTTACGATTTATCCGTTTTGACGAACGTAATTTTATTTAGGATGAGCTATGTATACTATGGGTTCGGCGTTAAGGACGAACTAGACTGGATAGCCCCCGAAGGCCTGATCAAGGCGATTCCGCGTTTCCTAAAGCCATGGTCGAATCGTCTGGAAAATCGTCGCTTCCTGTTTGGCGACGAAATCTCGTACGTGGACTTCCTTCTATTCGAAATACTCGATATCTTCCAAATTTTAGACGCTGGGGTGATTGATACGCCGGAAACAAAATCGCTTCGTACATACTACAATCACGTACGCGCTCTCCCTAAGCTGAAGGCGTATCTCGAGTCGGAACGACACATCAGTTGGCCAGTGTTTGGGCCCAGCGCAGAAGTTTGGGGACATATAAAATAGATAAGATAGACCATAGCATCGAATAGAACGAGTCCTTTTGACTTCCTTCGACATAATTTCCGCTGCGCTATAAAGCTGCTCGGATATTAATGGACATGATGAATGATAATTTTATGTGAGATATATACATAAAACATTAACATGTGAGGAATATATAGCTACGGCTTCATAATAAGGATTAATAAATGGGCATGGTGCGTGATGCGCTTTACTCAGAGAACCACTCCTATTTTCATCAGCTTATTGGTAATATTCTGTTGTGCAAGAAACACACGTGGAAAAACCACGCCAATTAAATAGAAATCGTAGAAAAACTTGTTTTAGACAAGAACTTATTGGCAATTAATGTATATTTTGTATCTTAGGGGCATACTTACACGTCTATCAGCTTTTTTCCACTCTCCTCGACAAAAGAATTACTTTGTATGTAATTGGTACTGAGCAATTGAATAGAAACGAGTAGAATATGACAGTTGAATTCTTCGCCGAAGACAGGGTTGAAGCAGCGCATCGATCCAGCTGTTTAATAAACTACGATTTAACTTGAATTAAAGACAGCTTTACACGCATGTAGTGTTTCCAACTTCATTAGCAGCCAACGTGAACATTTAGGTCCTAATTATTAAAAAGAGGAGCCTTATTTTATTACGTAGCATAAAAGCAATGCAAGAAAACTCTTTATTCATAATCAAATAGCGGCCAACACACACACACAACCATATAGGACGATTCAAAACTTTCCTTTTTAACCCACTTGGTCCATACTGAAGTAGCCCATTTTAACCACTGTCTAAAGCTTGCCCTCCGTTAGCTGATCTCACAAAAAGATTTACCAATTCATAACATATTTAAGCTTAGAACGTGGCGGATTTTATATAGAAATTCAATAGTCGTATTTGCCAAGCAGGTATTTGACTGGCCATTGTAGTTTCTCGAAAGCTCATTGTCTAGTCAAGCACCGATCAGATCTTCCCGTTCACCTGCGTATGTGTACGCAGCAGCGAAAGTAGCAGGCGGACGACGCTTGGGGCAGGGAATAGACTAATATCTATAGGTCGCTTGTACTGAACAGCCTTTGCAACGGAAAGGCTAACCAAAACTCCTTACTAATTGCAAGCTAGAATAGGACACTTTATTAAGTGAGTGTATATCGTACACATAGTAGTGCTGACGTGCTGACTCTGAGGTTTTCTTTCGGCGGGCGAAACGCAGGAGTATATCCACTAAGCTAGGCAAAGTTAGGTGGGGTAGCTTCAGGTCGGCGTAAGTTGAGCCAAACATAATATATAACAAGAAACGAAGAAGCCGGAGCTAAGTATAAACAAACACACTCCTTTATTCAATGGATGATTAACAACCCCGTGCTTTATTTTCGGAAAGTTAAAGATAGCTGCCTTCTTAAGGCACTGGTTACCCCATACTGTAGCACCGTAAAAATAAGGAAAAGCATTTAGAGTTGAGGTAATGTATTCAGCATGTAAGGATAATAATGCTTCCTTCTATCTGATAGTAATCATTTTCAGCGACAAAATAAAAGATGGCCCGGATCTGAATACTATGCAATGTAATAAGCTTTAATAGAGATCCTGTCCTTTTCAACTAGAGAAATGATGCCTACAGACTTGACTATTAAAAGTGCGCTTGCTGTAACTTAGTGTAGGAAAAAGATACACAAATATTGATGGATTCTACAGTGAACCGAAAAAGTGGAATCAACCAAGAACTGTTTATTACATTTTTATGAATATTCTGTAATTACCTGTTATTTTTGCCTGATCTGGCCTATTGCATCCTTCTGACCTGACTAAATCCGAGATCGACCTTGCGAAAACGAGATTCATATGACGAGTGGTTAAAAAATAATTGTCAATGATTACTGCTGATTTATCTGCCGCGAGTCAGAACATTCGTCTAAATCCTGATCATGCCAGATTTGCAAATTCGCAACCCATTTCACATATATTTCTTTATTCCAAAGAAATTGGTTAAGCAATATTATTTTTCGCCAGGTCCATCCTAGAAAGGCCTTTAAGAGGTTTTCAAAAGGGGACATTTTTACGCAGCGCAGTGGAGTTTTTACATTCGTTTTTACAACATTTTTACATCTTCGAAGTGAAGTTATCAGAAACTTATAAGAGATGCGAGCTACGCTTCACTGATGACCAATTCTGTTGGTTCATCAGTGTATATGGCTCGGTCAGCCGTGAGAAGCGCACTTATAAGGGACGAGGCACCCGACCTGACTGACTGGCTACACTTTTATGTAGAGGGTTGTCTATAGAAAGGCAACAAGATTCCTGGACTGAGAATTCTGCCGCAGTGGCCAGCAGCAATGCGCGCCTGCTTGATGGCGGCGGTGCAATCAAGGCGTGTTTGGGTTTTTATTCCCACACGGACTGGTCTGACCGTTGTCAGTGTTCGGGCAAGAAGGGTGCCGTGTGTCATCCTTTGGGGACCTGGAGGGTGTTTAGTGTCTCTTCCTGTCCGGTCCCTTTCCATAGGGTCCCTTCATATCCGTTGAGGCACCGATAGTGACCTGATGCTTTAGCTTGTCCCTTTCATGCAAGTTGCTAATAACAAAAACGTTCCTGTATGTTCCTGCAAGCTACCACAGCACTACTACTGCGGCGGGTAGCGATAGTTTGCATTCGAAGAAAGACATATATTTAGTCTAGGACTGCCCGCACATTAGGTAGCGTCAATAGAGTTGTGGCAGGAAATCTTTAGTGCATATGGCAGATGCTAAAACAAAACCAACAAACAAAAGATGACATACCTCGTACGACAAATTATTTCAATAAAATGAACGGAGTGGGCATTTCGTTGTATATTTTCACCCTTCAGTAAATGGAGGATCTGTAGATGGCCTCTGCTTAGCTGTTAGTACTTACACTTTGTAATAATAATTATTATTATTGAGACTTCGAATATTGACTCTACTGATCGAGAATCAAAAGGCACCAATAACTAGTCACCACGTTGAATTGAGCTAAGCCTATCTTATCATTATCCAATGGCATATGCAACACAATTCATCCAGATAGAAAAAGTTCATCACTCAGATTATAGAAGCAGAGTCCTGAAGTGTATATTTGGCTTGCTTATGAAAACCTAGCAAAAGGAACAGACGCGGCCTGATCACCATGGCACTAGTTCTCCAGACCACCTGAATGTGTGCAGGCGACTTGTGCCTTCATCCGCAGTAGTCAAATCATATGCTATCTAAATACAAAAGGGCGTACCGTACATTTCCAAATATGATTGTCACACACTAAAAGGCAACATAAGTATGTACTCTGTTTACTTTTGCAGGGAAATATATCGGCAATTTAATCATAATGCCTATTTCTATTGACGGCATTCACGAGGTGTATCATACTATAGGGCTCACAATTGTGTTCGTTTATAATCTTGATTTAATTATTTCTATTTCTGAGTTACCTGATCAGGAACATCCTGCTCGCAAGAAACCTGCCAACAGAATGGTCCCGAACGGAAACGGTAGTCTTTTTTGAACAGACAGGAATCTACAAGTGTTTTTGTAATACAGAGCGTTATTATTTCGTCTAGTGTTTGGCCGAAGCGAAATGGTGCGAGAGAGACGAGTAGGGAAAACGCTAAAGAGAAAAATGCCCTCTCGAGGAACAGCAGCATCATGAGGTCCCGTTTGGACTGCGAGGTTGAATTAACTGAACTGGAGTGGTTAAATTAAGATTTCTTTCTTTCTAAGGAGGTCTTCGCTATTTCGTCTACTCCCAAATTTTCTCGATTCGTAGCCGCTTGCTAGCAGGAAGGCAGTTGGTCTTCTGCAAGCGTTCTTCACTCTGGCGGCCCGTCGTTTCCTCGTAATTGAATTTGAACGCGCTCGACAACTTGACCATTCTTCTACAGTTCTCGCCGTATTCTGGACCCCTCTACTCAACTTAAAAACTTATCTACGCCGCTAGACGACCCTCGACTACTGCCTACTTCACTTACCCTCTAGGCACAACCGTCACCCGTTCTTTCTCTATCAGGTGTTCTAATCATGTTCAAATAATGCTTTCATGTGGATCACTTTGAAGTAGCGCTTCCAAGCGATCTAGACTCGAGCTAAACAACTGCTAGGTGTGCTCTGAGCGGCAAATGCCGATACGTAACTCGCATAGTAAGCTTATTTTTCGAACGTCCCACCAGTCATCCTTTTACAGGACGATATGATGAAGGGCACCTTGATTCTTTTTATCGTGCTTTCCATAGCGCAGGAGCTCGTCGCCATCTTCAAGTTAAATTAGGAAACCCGTACTCTTCTCAACGACAGTCCTTTCTGTTGATTGTCAGCTACGTGCCTTCATCGGCTTTAATCGATGTCATTCATCAATGTGAAAAGTCAGCATTTTTTCTCGATATTGCCTACTGCTGAGAGAGTGGCTGAACGCAAAACGCGCGTTATTTACGAAGGCAACAATATGCCATTGTGATGCGTATGTTTTCCGTTCTGTTGTTTAGCCGATATCGCCAAGCCATAGTAGCTTGTACACTCTGTATGCGCGTGGGCGTTTCTCTCTAGAAATTAAAATACATGGTCTTTCGTTGACGTATTACCTACGTCATCTCGTATGAAACGGAGCGTAGATGTACAGGGCGCATACAGCATGCAGTAGATGGGTGCAGATATTATTTATATGCAGTATTCTTAGAATGCAGCATATGTGCAGTTAATAATGTACACGGCTACAGGCTATCAAATCTGCTTTGTGGTATCCAATATATTTGGGTAAATAGCTAGGCGAAAACTAAGGTAAGCAATGTCTCCATTTATCAAAGTGAAGTCCCTTTAATTGTGCTTCTGTCTTCATTGGTTAGTTAGTCACCTTACGGCTATCATCTAGTAGGTTTGTACTTTTTTTTTGTTGTATGCGGGACGCCTACTTTTTGAAGTATATTTTACTTCACTCTGAATTTCTTGTTGATCAATTAATCACTACTAGACGAAGCTGACAAGGGTTTAGGAGAGGCTCTTTTGCCTTGCTAGACGTTGCGCAGCTGAGCTCCGTGCTCTCAGCTTTTCGATTTCGAACTACTTTAAGCTCCGATGGCTAAGCCTTGGTTAGTCGATTTTAAAGTATCCTCAAACATAAGTAATGAGATTAGTTTTAGCAATCATAATGCTTGAATGCTTTCTTAAAGTATAACGTACAATTACGTTCGCGCAAAGCAAAGAGGTCATCTTATTCCTAAGGGTAGGAACTGGTCAACGCACAGAGCAGCATAAACAGAACTCAAGGTCGTTACGATCCGTGAATTTAATCATTTAAAAATCGATTTAATTTTCTGAGATATTCAGGTAATTTCTAAAGCTTGCTTAGAGACAACAGGCACTTTTTTCAAGGTTTGAGTATAATATTTACGATGACAGAAACACTCGTTGGTCCTAGTCGCCGTAGTAAACCTGCGTTGGGTAGTCGCATACGAGGCCATTGCAACAAATATTAATCTAGAATATTAATAGTATAATTTTCATTAATCATGCCATTTTATAATAGTGTGAAATTTTGCGACACTTTTCTTTTTTATTTCAAGGTGCGCTTGCGCTGTCTGTAATCTAAGGTCGTTGGGCTTTCAGCAGACAAGTTGCAACGTCGAATTCTAAGTTATTCCGAGTGAATATCAGCGATGTACTCCGTAGAGGCGGATCGGTGAATAGACGATCTATTCCATAAGGCTGGCTACGCTAAATCGAGAATTGTCTCCACCTAGAACATGTTCGTCCGACTCTGACAGCCGTGTATAGACGTGGATGATAAAATAAGTTTAACTGTCTCCATCAATAGGACATTATTCTTACCAAGTAGGCAATATATGAATTCAAAGGCCCTTTGTAAACTGTGCACCTGAACCAGACATTGTGTTCGAGAATTGCAGTAGTCTCACCGTATTGATATAGCGCTGATACTCTGTTTGTGCGGCATCATTGGGCAGTGAACAAATGTGGCAGCGATTGCGTCAGTAAAGGAAGATACTTTTCACCTAGTAGCCTATTGTACGTTTTGGTTCTTAATGATTTCGTAGAATTTTCTGAGAAAAAAAAACGTCGTATGATCAAATGTGTCCTTCCTAGTAAGCGCTTAGCGAACTTTGACGAGTTCCCTAAGAGCTGCGCGGCTACTGAAACGAGGTAATAATGTAACCGCAATCTGGCCAGCGCTTCAATACGGACTCCAGCTTTTCCGTCGTGTTCGAGTTTGCTTCATCTGAGTCGGGGGTGACAAGTGCTGGCCATTAACTTGTAGGCTAAAACATAATATGACCTGGTAATGTTATAGTGTATTTAACCAGTTCATTTTTTAATAGACTCGGCGTTCAGCGTCGCGTCTAGTGCTTATCATATAGCCTTCCAATGCAAGCCAATTACAAATAAAGAAGAACACCAGCTTTCCCCATTATGCTAAAAGCAAATGAACTTGTTTGAAAAGCACGGGTCACTTAATTGGTCCGCGCAAGGACAAAACGATTATAGCAGAACGTCTAGAAGCTTCATAGACTTCAGCCAAACTTGGCATCTATATTATAATAATCATCGCAGAGTTCCTTTTCGGTTTATAGAATCGGCAATGAGAGTAAAAATGACTCAAGGAAATCTCTTTGTCTCTTAGTTCCGTTAGCTTTGCTCAGTTTTCAACGGATTCCACACGTGTGTGGAAAATATTCCAGGCACAATTCTACGACATGATGATCTGTCGAAGACGTTCAAGCTTTGCGTCAACGCTTAAACGCGGACAATATTTACACCTGATACATGATTACGAGGAGGGAAATAGCTAATCGATCAGAGTAAGCCTGGACGGCACTTACCGGCAGAGATTCGTTGGCTGCTTTACCGTCGACGACAACTATCGACAACTTTTAGGGTACGCGGTATATGCTGACGACGTAAGGATGTACTGTGTTGTAACAACCAAAGAAGGCCATCGAATCGTGTTAAATAATTTATACAACTTGACAGCTAGATATGAACAAAGGCCTCCGTTTCATAGATTTTCACTCTGCATTTTAAGCAAAACAACCTTATGAACGGGTATCACATTGACAATCTTGCGGCATAGTTGTCAATCAAATAGGTGATCTAGAATTCATAACGCCAGCAAATCTCAGACACAATGACCTTGTATCAGACGCTATGATCCGCGACTCTAGAGGAACAAAATTCAATTTATAGCTATTTATAGTTAGATCGATATTTACAAGCGATTATTACGACTTTAACATGCTTATGAGATTAAGGTTGTTTTTACATTCTCTGGCAAAGGCTGAGGTATTCTTCTATTCACTGGAAACGTATCGATATCAGAAACTCAAATGAACGACGCCTTTACGCAGCCTATGCCCTTCGTCTAGCCAAAACACCACTTGTTTTTGGGGGTATTGTATTTGATATTTATGTGTTGTTGCTGATAGCAATTAATTTGTGTTTTCTCTATATGTTTAGCTTCCAAATATCTTCATACAAACAGGTGCGAATCAATTATTATAAGCATTAAGGTAAACACTCGTCCATACGTGGCCAAATAGTCCAGCGTCAGCTCTACTACACGCAGCCAGAGATGGGTCTTTTAGATCGCTAGCGGTGACTGCAATGGCCATAGTGCTTATGATGACCACGGTCATTACCTAATGCCAGCGAGCCATAGCCCGACTGTGTTTTCGTTGAGCCAGTGAGAGGTTAAAGGTTGGAGTCCCGCTGGGCGCCGTTTATGCCCCGTTTTGGGAGATGTGGTATGAACTACTGTGCTAAGCTGGGCATAAGCTGAGTTCAGCATACCCAAAATATCTGCGTCGGTTACTTGGCGCAATATGAAGCCACTAGATTATTGCGTGTCGACTTTTTCCGTAGGTTATACAACGACGTGGAACAAAGTAGATCGCATTTCTTTCTTTTCTGCTTTTCCCGTCCACACCTTGAATGCGGTATAGGCGAGAGGGACGTCTGCGGGACATTTATGAACTCCAGCTTATTGTGTTCTCTATTCCGTGGCGATTACTCATGAAGACCTCATGCTTTGAAACTCAGGTCCGCTCGCTGAATCTTTACGATATATACGACCGTATCGTGTGCTCGGCTTGGATTGGTCATCTGCCGCTGGGCATAGTAGACCCGGCTGCAGCACCAGCTATGGGCAAAATTCGCACAGACCCCAACGGGGGTCCCTTGAGGTTCACTAAATGACTCGACATCAGACGAAATGCTGCATGACTGCTTCTATGATGTCACCGTGGCGCAATGATGATTTCCGCTGGTTCGCTTAGGCTTGCCGTTATGGGTAGCCAGGACTGAATAAAAACGTAAACATGATAGTAGTCAAAACTAACTTTCTATTTATTTATAGGCGATCCATATTAGTGTTTTGCTAGCAAACAGCTAAATCAAAACGAAGCGTTGCTTCTTCCGGCTTTCATTGTCTTCCCGGATAAGGATAAAATTAAACTAAATAAATATGCTGCCAATAATTAGTCTACGAAGTCATGCTAAGTTGTAACTACAGGACAACAGGACTGGTTCTCACCCTCGTACACATGAATATCCCTTGGAATACGTATTACATAACTAAAATATAAATCGTAAAGCTTTATCTAACGATACTATCTTTCTACTTCTAACACGTTTTGATGGGCCAAATGTCGATACCCCTTCACGCTCGCGTTTCAGTTATCTATGTTTTGTCGAAGAAGCCCGTTGCCATACATAAGTGGCCGGCTAATCGAGAGACGCCTACGCGAGTAGCCATGCGTAACAAAATCTTGTAGTTCCGTTAGCTACTTAATCCAAAACAATGGCTGATAGCTTCACTGTCATTCCAAGATTTGGCTGAGTACATAGCTCTAGTTCTAGACAATTAAGTAATTTTTAGAAAACGCATGTCTACGTACAGGCTATTCAAAATAACAATCAACTGTTTCACGTTACTACGCATTCGTTATGGTGGCATATTATATGTAAACACTCATTGTAGTAGACCTTTTTCCTAAAATCAATTGCTGGAACATGCTCATGCACAATTAATATTATCTAGGTAAGACAATTATACATTTTAAACCAGAGAATGACATGTTTAACCGAGCTGTTAACTTCACCGTTCGAGTGTCTAATGCTCGTTCCATCGCCTGTTTTTGCGTCATTGGGAGGTCAGGACGCTTTGCCTCAATTGCCGCAGTCCCAGCTGATGTTCAGTAAGACTAGTTGATCAAAAACCTGTCAGTGAAGAAACGCAAAGCTGGTCCACACAAACGGCACTTCGATCAGAAGACGATTGTGCACCACGCACGACCGAGCGTTACTGGTCGACCTGTCGCCCTTCTACTCGCTAGGGTCTTTCGCAACCCAAACGGCGACAGCTGACATGTATGGATGGATGGGCAGAACACTTCAGCGGAGTTACAAACCAGCAGTCGGTTACCCGATTGATAGATTCAGCTCGGTAGAGCCTGCACTTGTCAAAGCGTGCCCCTTGATCAGTGTTCACGATACGCAAAGGGCAAATAGTTCTGGGACAGTATCTAACATTGAATCGGTTAGCAGAATATGGCGTGTCTTTGGAAAAGATTGGGAGTACGGACACGGCCTGAATGGTCCTAGCCAAAGCTATTACGAACTCCAAAAAGACTGAGATTGCTATCGAAAGGAGCTGGCAGTGACGTACGGGCAGTAAACGTACGCCCGTGTTCCTGAAAATGTGGAAAAATTGAAAAAAACAGGTTGCGATAAAAACTGAAGGAGAACTGCACAGCAAAAAGGTCTACTTGCTTCTGTAGCAGCAACTGCATTCATGGTTTCCGTGTATCGGGAGATGTTAGTCCAGTTGATTTTTTACCCATTTCTCAATGTGCCGAAAACGCTTATAGTCTTCTAGTAGAAATACTATTATATTAGACACCGGTACTGCCAGGGCCAAGTTGTGGGCATACCTAACAATCTACAAGAAGGGCTTGGACGCTGAGACACCGTCTGGCATCGAGGATAGCCCCAAACCTAATCTATTTTTGATATCAGTTCTCCGTTTATTTGCCGTGATTACTTCAAATTAATATAGTTTCAGTATATGTGAATTAAGTGGTCATACTACTGTGATTTGATTATAACTCTATAGAAGAAGAAGAACTTTTAGTTTTAAAAAAGGCATAATTTTTGCCAATGAAAAATTACGAAGGGAACACATGCAGCTCTGCCAAGGACACGACTGTAAATTTAAACGTAGTGTTTGAGAAATTTGAGAGATTAATGGTTTGAATTAAATTGTACAAATGCTGTAATTTTGAAAAAAAAGGGGGGTCGGAGTACGTCGACCCCGCTACTGTTCGATATCTTCAAATACTGGAAAATATAAACCGGACTTTGCAGAGTCTACGTCTTTCGAACAAATAGAAACTGCATTGAATTGCTCGAATACAAAGAAGAAAGCAACGAGAAACGAGAACGAGGGTGGTAGTAGAAAAGAAAGCAACTGTGAGGTAACAGAGTTGCCGATGAGGTGGGTTGACGTGAGGACATCATTTCCTGTCAAAGACAGACTACACATAGAAACGGAACTCAACGACACGACACTAAACACAGGTGCGTCTTAGCGCGGAGACCAACGTATGGGTCAGTCGAACCGGAGGTTAAATTCTCCCATTTCTGCTGTCGGCAGCGAAGGGGGTGTCTGGCAAGTTCTGTGGCAAAACGGTGACAAAAACGTCGACGAGATGAGCTGCCTGGCCCGACGCATTAGCCAGTAAAGAGTAGGCGGCAGAAGATGTGGTGACTATTTAGAAGGACCAAATGCCAATGGGAGCCGATGTCGCTGATTAATCTCGATAATAATTAATAAGAACCCTTGCTTTTGTTCAGGTTTTAAACAAGTGGAGAAATTCGAATAAAAGCTTTTTCTGATATCCTTTTCTTTGAATCGTCGGACGCTTCAGAACCTATTTCGGAATTCTCAATCATATTTAGTCGATAAGATAGAGTTTAATGTTGTTTAAAATGACAATTGTTGATTATGTGCAAAAAAAATAGCAGATGTGGAAGAAAGTCTTTTGTGTCATTGTTCTATGGGAGCCGATATGTTCAAGCTACTTTTATGTTATACCGTTCCAGCCGTTTACGCGTGCGGGCTAGGGACATTCCCAGTGGTATAAAACATTACACAGAACTAGGATTAGACCCAGAGTATATCGGTGAAAACACCACAACAAGTACTCAAGTGTTATATTTGAGTTTCGTTGTAAGTAACAGAACTACCACTCATTAGATATTACACCTAACTTCGATTAAGAGATAGAGATCTTCATGCAGATAGATCCTGCATGTTGGTTTAGGCGTCTTAGATAAAACTGGCGAAAACAATCGCCCATTTCTATTTGGCATTGCAAACTAAAGCAGGTATATTCGTAATGATTCAGTACCGTCACACTTTCATGAATAAAGAAGTGAGATTCTAGAAGTTTCTTAAAAAATGCCGTCGGTTATTACGTGAGAACACTGCCCGCAATAATACCATGCATGTATGGACTGCATCCACAAATGCAGCTAACGGATTTGTAATTAGGACGAACGTCTAGTTACATATTAGAACATCGTTCTACATATAACAGCACACTGTTGCCTGGTATCAAATGATTTCTACATAGAATTTTCATGGTCGTAGACGTAGTTTACGCGGCTCGTTTGCTCAGCTGCTGCTGCAGCAGCTCGCAGGAGATGATATGTTCTCAAAAAGAGGAATGCAGGTCACCAGAACTACCAGCCGTTATGGAGTCACGTAAACGTCATTTCGCTATTGCGGCGTTTACTGTAGCTGGCGTGTGTGTGTGCGTGGGGGCCAACGTATCCGACGTTGAAGAAGACGGAGGTAAGTAGAGGAGGATAGAGGA